CCTCAATCCTAGATATCATTGGTGGGCCTCACCCCTAGAGATCATTGGTGGGCCTCACCCCTAGAGATCATTGATAGGCCTCAAACCTAGAGATCATTGGGGTGCCTCACCCTTGATATCATTGGTGGGCCTCAACCCTGGAGATCATTGGTGGGCCTCACCCCTGGAGATCATTGGTGGGCCTCAACCCTAGAGATCATTGGTGGTCTTCAACCCTAGAGATCATTGGTGGGCCTCAACCTAAAAGATTATTGGTGAGCCTCACTCCTAGAGATCATTTTATGGGCCATCCCCACTAGAGATCATTGATGGGCCTCATCCCCAGAGATCATTGGTGGCCTCCACCCTAGAGATCGTTGGTGGGCCTCACCACTAAAGATCATTTGTGGCCTCAACCCTAGAGATCGTTGGTGGTCTTCAACCCTAGAGATCATTAGTGGGCCTCAACTTAAAAGATAAGTTGTGGGCCTCACCCCTAGAGATCATTGGTGGGCCTCACCCCTAGAGATCATTGGTTGGCCTCAACCCTAGAGATCATTCGTGGGCCTCAACCCTAGAGATAATTTGTGGGCCTCGACCATGGAGATCATTGGTGGGCCTCAACCCTAGAGATCGTTGGTGGTCTTTAACTCTAGAGATCATTGGTGGGCCTCAACATAAAAGATCATTGGTGAGCCTCACCCCTAGAGATCATTTTATGGGCCTTCCCCACTAGAGATCATTGGTGGGCCTCAACCCTAGAGATCATTGGTGAGCCTCACCCGTGGAGATCATTGGTGGGCCTCAACCCTAGATATCATTGGTGGGCCTCACAACTAGAGATCATTGGTGGGCCTCACCCCTAGAGATCATTGGTTGGCCTCAACCCTAGAGATCATTCGTGGGCCTCAACCCTAGAGATAATTGGTGGGCCTCGATCCTGGAGATCATTGGTGGTCTTTAACTCTAGAGATCATTGGTGGGCCTCAACATAAAAGATCATTGGTGAGCCTCAACCATAGAGATCATTTTATGGGCTTTCCCCACTAGAGATCATTATTGGGCCTCACCCCTACAGATCATTGGTTGGCTTCAACCCTGGAGATCATTGGTGGGCCTCACCAATGGAGATCATTGATGGGCCTCAACCCTAGATATCATTGGTGGGCCTCACCCCTAGAGATCATTAGTGGGCCTCACCCCTAGAGATCATTGGTTGGCCTCAACCCTAGAGATCATTCGTTGGCCTCACCCCGGATATCATTGATGGGCCTCACCCCTGGAGATCATTGGTGGGCCTCACCCCGTGAGATCATTGGTGGGCCTCAACTCTAGAGATCATTTATTGGCCTCAACTGTAAAGATCATTGGCCTCACCCTTGAAGATCATTGGTGGGCCTCAACCCTAGAGATAATTGGTGGGCCTCATCCCTTGAGATCATTGGTGGGCCTCATCCCTAGAGATCATTTTATTGGCCTTCCCCACTAGAGATCATTGATGGGCCTCAACGCTAGAGATCATTGGTGAGCCTCACCCCTGGAGATCATTGGTGGCCTCAACCCTAGATATCATTGGTGGGCCTCACCCCTAGAGATCATTGGTGGGCCTCACCCCTAGAGATCATTGGTTGACCTCAACCCTAGAGATCACTCGTGGGCCTCACGACGGAGATCATTGGTGGGCCTCACCCCGTGAGATCATTGGTGGGCCTCGTCCCTAGAGATCATTTATTGGCCACAACTGTAAAGATCATTGGCCTCACCCTTGGAGATCATTGGTGGGCCTCAACCCTAGAGATAATTGGTGGGCCTCATCCCTTGAGATCATTGGTGGGCCTCAACGCTAGAGATCATTTGTGGGCCTCACCCCAGGAAGCATTGGTGGGCCTCAACTACTAAGATCATTGGTGGGCCTTAACCATAGAGATCATTTGTTGGCCCCAAACCTTGACATCATTGGTGGGCCTCAACCCTAGAGATCATTTTTGGGCCTTAACCATAGAGATCATTTGTGGGCCTCACCCCTAGAGATCATTGGTGACCCTCCACCCTAGAGATCATTGGTGGGCCCCAAACCTTTACATCATTCGTGGGCCTCAACCTTAGAGATCATTTGTGGGCCTCACCCCTGGAGATCATTGGTGGGCTCAACCCTAGAGATCATTGGTGGGCCTTAACCATAGAGATCATTGGTGGGCCTCAACCCTAGAGATCATTGGTGGGCCCCAAACCTAGAGATCATTTGTGGGCCTCAACCCAAAACATAATTGGTGCGAAAAGCCATGACACATGTCCCATGACATGACTAAGTACTGAGATCACTATAATAATAATTATATTAAAGTTTTTTTTTTTAAAAATCACGCTTCATCTCCAAAGACCCGGCTGGCAGTACAAAGTCAACCATATTAAAAAAGAAATGAAACAATCTGTATTTTACCACATTAAAACTCAATACGCATCGCTACAAAAACTACATACGAGCATACCCATGTCACCATGATGCATATAGAACTATGTACTGAAATTGTTATGTCCCTATATAGAACTTTGTACTGAGATTGTTATGTCACCATTTAGAACTATGTACTGAAATTGTTATGTCCCCATATAGAACTTTGTACTGAGATTGTTATGTCACCATATAGAACTATGTACTAAGGTTGTTATGTCATCATTTAGAACTATGTATTGAGATTGTTATGTGACCATAAAGAACTATGTACTAAGATTGTTATGTCACCATGTAGAACTATGTACTAAGATTGTTATGTGACCATAAAGAACTATGTACTAAGATTGTTATGTCACCATATAGAACTATGTACTAAGATTGTTATATCACCATATAGAACTATGTACTAAGATTGTTATGTCACCATAAAGAACTATGTACTAAGATAGTTATGTCACCATATAGAACTATGTACTAAGATTGTTATGTCACCATATAGAACTATGTACTAAGATTGTTTTGTCACCATATAGAACTATGTACTAAGATTGTTATGTCACCATATAGAACTATGTACTAAGATTGTTATGTGACCATAAAGAACTATGTACTAAGATTGTTTTGTCACCATATAGAACTATGTGCTGAGATTGTTATGTCACCATATAGAACTATGTACTAAGATTGTTATGTCACCATATAGAACTATGTACTAAGATTGTTATGTCACCATGTAGAATTATGTGCTGAGACTGCTTTATCAAAGAATTGTATTTCAACACTGTTTTTATACATATAAATGTCATAAGAATCGCATTGTTGCAGTTTATAGCCAACAAACAAAGTGTTTTCACTGGTATTTATTACAATCTATTAAAAAATGTGTAACAGATTGGAATATGTATTCTCATGGATGAAAGCCTGTATGACGCAGTACGTGGTGCAGTGTTTCTCAAACGTTCTTTTATATCAGGCCTGCACAACTCAAAATGTAATGCGGGCCGTAATACATCATGAAAAACCTGTGCAGGCCAAAAGAAAATAGGACTGGACTTGCGCGGGCCAAAAGAATATCGGTCAGGGGGGTAACTATTAAGAAAAAAATACGAATAAAGAATGTTTCGTTATCTCGTGGGCCACGAAGTGGGTGCTGGTGGACCACATTCGGCCCGCGGGCCGTATGTTGTGCAGGCCTGTTTTATATTATGCGATCTTGCTCGTTATTAAAATGTGTCGGGATCTTTCAACAAATGTGTATTTTCCTTCTATAAAAATTGAATTTCCTTTCGCTGCTTAAATTATAAACTAAATGTAACACAGTTAAAGTTTATCATATCAATATCTTTCATTGTAGGTCATCATTGTAGGTCATCATTGTAGGTCATCATTGTAGGTCATCATTGTAGGTCATCATTGTAGCTCATAACGGTAGGTTATCACTGTGGGTCATCATTATAGCTCATCCCCGTAGAACATCGTAGTAGGTCCTCATTGTAGGTCATCATTGTAGGTCGTTATTGTAGGTCATCATTGTATGACACCATTGTATGTCATCGTTGTGGGCCATCACTGTAGGTCATCATTGTAGGTCATCACTGTAGGCCATCAATGTACACGATGAAGAAACAGCAGGGTTATATCCAATATAAATTAACTTCAGTCTTGAGAAATAGTAACACAGTTTATGAACTGACCATTCAATGAACTGACCATTCAATGAACTGACCATTCAATGAACTGACCATTCAATGAAGTGACCATTAAATGAAATGACCATTCAAATGGAATTGTATAGATCTAGTCTTTACCAGGATCGCACGCTACTAGCAGAAATACAAGAAAGGACAGGATACTCTGGGCGGGACACTTAAAAAGAATGCCAAATGACAGAGGAGTCATGGCAAGAATGTAGGCTTAGACGGATGGATAGATGATGTGGAAAATGATCTACAGCAGCATGGGAATCCACGCAAGGGCAAGAAAAGCATCATTTAGATCTGAGTGAAAGGATGTGGTGAGGCAGGCAAAAGACGCACATGGGCTGTAGCGCCACACGGTAGAAGGGAACATTCAAACGACAATTTTAAGTAAATCTATATTCGAGCTCGTTGAATTTTTTTTAATCAGTGTTGTTTCATTGCCTTCCTCTCCCTTTTTTTCCCCCACACACACATACACACACACACACACACATTTTCTCCTAATCCGTCCCCCACTAGGCTACCCAAAATCTAACTTTTTATTTTGTACGTAGTAACTTAAAAAGTTAAATTCCATTAGAAGATATATTTAGACATAAAATCATGAATTTGATCGGTCTTTTTTTTTTTTTTAATAAAAAAGGAACATTAGTTTAAATAATTTAGATTTGCACGTACTTTTTATTCGAATATTCTAATTTGTAACGGCAAAAACTAAAATTATGTATGGGGGCATTGCATGAACTATTTGTTATTTAAATAAGTTTTTGTCCTGCTCGGTTTTGTCGTTGTCCCAGCAGACATCAATACACGTCATGACACTTTTGATCCACATAAAAAGCGTGGATTATACAGTTCATATCTTTATTTACGCTCTGCAGACGACCTCTCCATTGCCTGGTGGCGAAAACATCAACTGTTAACATTCTCTGCCGTGGCCATCATGTGGTCTGTAAACTTTCTGGGAGTTTTGGTAAATAAATCAAGTTTGTTTCTTTTGTTTTTTCATAATATATTTGTGACTTTTTTTTGTTAAATGTTCAGTTTTGTTTCGTGGCGTAGACTGTGATGACATTTAAAAGTTTCTCTTATTTACAGTTTGGGGGGGGGGGGGGTTGTGGGGGGTTTTTTTTTTTTTGGTGGGTTTTTTAAAATCATGATTTAAATGTCAACTCAGTCTTTGTTTCAAGTTAACGAAAATCGTTGTTTCATACTTTAAGTTGTTGCTGACTTCTAACATTACTGTGTAGCTATGCCTCAGTGTACCACAGTAGAGTTCAAATCGTGTCCGTATAGGTTTACACCTAAGCCTACCGCCTTGAACAAGAATGTACCACAATTTAAGAATCGCTGCCAAGTGTCATAAGAACCCCATAATTTAAACATATTTATGTTAAAGGTATAATTTTATAGTTATAGATAGTATAATATTCTTACAAAATAATTAAATGGCTAATTGTTGTCTTTGCACCGGGGAGAGTACACTACAGATTGTCTTTTTTGAAAACGTTCTCCCCTCTAGATGAATCATAAATATCTATAGTGCAAAAAGGGGTTGGGGGGGGGGACTGCGATCAGGTCAAGTCAAAGAAAATAAGTCGTTCAAGGTAGGGGAAAACCCTGAAAGGGGACAAAATGAAATATCGCAAGTGTCAGCAAAAACAAAATCCTTCTTCAGCAAACAAAACCAAAGCACAACAAAAATAAACTGAACAAAACCGAAGCACAACAAAGTAAACTGAACAAAACCAAAGCACAACAAAATAAACTGAACAAAACCAAAGCACAACAAAATAAACTGAACAAAACCAAAGCACAACAAAATAAACTGAGCAAAACCAAAGCACAACAAAATAAACTGAACAAAACCAAAGCACAACAAAATAAACTGAACAAAACCAAAGCACAACAAAATAAACTGAGCAAAACCAAAGCACAACAAAATAAACTGAACAAAACCAAAGCACAACAAAATAAACTGAGCAAAACCAAAGCACAACTAAATAAACTGAGCAAAACCAAAGCACAACAAAATAAACTGAACAAAACCAAAGCATAACAAAATAAACTGAACAAAACCAAAGCACAACAAAATAAACTGAACAAAACCAAAGCACAACAGAATAAACTGAACAAAACCAAAGCACAACAAAATAAACTGAACAAAACCAAAGCACAACAAAATAAACTGAACAAAACCAATTAATCTGATGCTGTGAAGATTTCGAGAAAAAAATTTATAATAACAACCCAGGCTCAGTATAAAAAAATATACAAATGAAGTTACCGGACGGTGGATTAAGATTAACTATAATCATTCGTTGTTGTTTTTTTTTTCCTCACGTGTTCAATCCTTATTTTGATTGGCAGCTCCTTGGGTTGACTAGTGTCCAGATATCGGACCAGAAAGCCTTGAGCAGGACCGGCCGCCTTTGGACTATGTTCAAGTCTAGACACGCCAGGCAGGTCACAGATGAACCTGTCACCGACTCCTTTCCAACCACCACCCCTGAGTCTGAGATCAAACCCTACGACGAGACGCCCGTCACCTACATCGATCCGCCCCAAACCTCTCCTTACCCACCCCCTGACCCCAACGACGCTTGCGGCGGCTGCCCTCCAGGGGACGTCTGCGTCGAGGTCTATCCCCCTTGCCAGCAATTTACCCCTCCCCCTCCCCCACCCGAGTGCTTTGAGGAGAACCCTGACCCCAGCATCGATTGTGATTGGCAACCGGGGGACTACAGTTACCACCATTGTGACCTCATTCCAATCTGCGTCGATTATCGTTATTACTCATGGTATGGATAAAAGGACATTCATTACAAATCACTGATCTAGTGTTTGTACGCTGACGAAGGCTTCCTGTCGTCACGTTCGTTTTTGTGTTGCGTTCCTTTTTTCGGGTTTTCCCCATACTTTGTTTTACTCATTTCCTTTGTTGGCTTTTTTTTTTAAAATTATAAATTTGTGTGGACGCTTGATGTCCTCTTGAAATTCTCCAATAAATTCATTCATGCAGTTTATTGGCCTACTTATTTTATAAAATGTTAATGAATTTTTATAATTTATTTAAATAGAAATTCCGGTATACGTGTATTTTAATTTTTGCATTAATATTTCGTCATTACAGCAATTTTTATTTTTTATTATTATTATTAATTTTTTTTTTTTGGGGTCCAAGTGTAAGTCGTTGGCGGGTCCGGAAATTTGTGGAAATAAAGAAACCATGTTAAACATTCCTGTTCTTATCATTGGCGAAAATGGTGTGTGTGAATGTGTAAGACGTGAACGTGAATTCTAATGAAATAAAGAGCGTTCCATAAAACTGTTGATTAGTAAAAAATGTTGTGACTTCAATCAAGAAAGTAAAATTGTTGGTCATTTTCAGAATTTTATGTTATTTGATTTATGAGCCGAGCCCAAAATTACTAGCGTGTGTGTGTGTTTGTCAGGGCTAGATTAACCATTAGGCTAACAAGGCACGTGCCTAGGGCACCAAGCATTTGGGGGGCACCCCAAGTCCTCAAGAAAATGTGTATATTGTCCCGGTAGCGTAGTTGCATGGCATAAGCAAATCACTAATGTAATATTGAATCGCACATTATTTAACCTTGGTCCCACAACGAAAAGATGGAAGATTCTGAAAAGATGCATTGTGAATGAAAAGCTGGTAAAGTCCCTTTCCGATACCAGATGGGAAGCACATGCTGTTGCAACTGAAGCCATTCTAAAGTCTCATTCTCAGATTATAGAAGCGTTAGAATGTTTACAAGAAGACCAGTCACAGAAAAAGGGGGGGGGGGCACCAGAGGAGAAGCAGCAAACATTGCAAAGAAGATCCAAGAATTAGAATTTGTTTTCATGCTTGTCTTTTGGGAAGAATTGTTGCAACATTTTCACAGGGTCAGTCAAGTTCTACAAAATGAGCACGTGAACTTGAAAACATGTGCTGATTTGTATTCTTCACTAGCAGATCACTTGCATGAATCTAGGAATGAATTTGAAAGATTTGAAGAAGCTGCAAAAGAAATAACACCAGGTGTGAATATTAAGTCAACTTTGACCCGTAATCGTAAACGAAAGACAGTGGTCATTGATGGTGATGCCCCTGAGGTATCTCAGAATGCCAGAGACAATTTTTGTATATCTGCTTTCTACACCATTGTTAACAAACTTGAGACAGAGATGAGTAGACGAGGACAGGTATATAATGATCTAGCAGTTTGATTTTCTTGTTTGGTCGATGTAACACAAACATCTCAGTGTTGTGAAGGACTAATAAATGCTTATCCTGAAGATCTGAACAATAATTTATATACTGAACTACGACAGTTCCACTCATATATTCGCCACAAGTTTCGTGCATCAAAATCTGAGAACAACACGTTCAGTCATGCAGAATTCTACAAAGTAATAGCTAGAGAAAACATCAAGTGTGCTTTTCCAAATGTAGAAATCGCCTTGCGCATATTTTTAACATTAATGGTTACGAAGTGTTCAACTGAGTGTTCTTTTTCTCAGTTGAAACGTACAAAAAATCCAAGTAGATTGACAATGAAATAAGAAAGGCTTGATTCTTTATCTTTGCTGATGATTGAGGCAGGCTTGTTGCGCAAAATTAACTTTGATGATGTACTCAAAAACTTTGCCAGACGTAAATCTAGAAAAAAGAACTTTAAAATGTGAATGTGTGCTCTCTCTGACTTTCTTATCTATCAAAAAAAAGTACAGTATTTTTGTCTACTATTATTACAAAATTAATTAACTATTAATTTTAATACAGAAATACCTTATTGTAGGTTTTATATGAGTGATAGTAGTACAAACATATGTGTGATAGTAGTACAAACATATGTGTTTACGTTTCACAACTGTTTTTCTTTGTTAGTTTTTTGCATAATTTTGAACATACCAGCAGTCAGTGGAGGATCGGGGGCCCGGGGCAGTAGGGGGCACCCATGTGGGTTTGTGCCTAGGGCACCAAGATGGCTTAATCCGGCCCTGGTGTTTGTGCGTGCGAGTGTGAGTGTACACATGTGTGCATGTGTCTGTGTGCGTGATAGTGTTTGTATGTGTGAAAGTAACGGATTACATATTTATGAAACATTAAAAAAAATTTCCCTCCAGCATGCCGGCCAAAGATTAAATTAAAAAGTTGGTCTTCGTCTGACAAAATCAAAGAGATGAGTTTATCGGCTTTCTGGCTTCTCCTAATGACTTTTTATCTGTAGTTCGGGAGAACTTTTGTTTACAAGTGCTGCAGCCATGATAGCCACCAACTTTTTGACGACCTGTTCCTGGGCAGTTACGAGTTAAGGAACCTACAATACATCATCACCTTCTAACACGCAGAATGATGGCTACGACTGGTTGAGATGATACCACTCAGGGCGAGACGGTACACAGGCCTACAGCGGTTTAAGGTTATGGCCTACAGCGGTTTAAGGTTATGGCCTACGGCGGTTTAAAGTTATGGCCTACAGCGGTTTAAGGTTATGGCCTACGGCGGTTTAAGGTTATGGCCTACAGCGGTTTAAGGTTATGGCCTACAGCGGTTTAAGGTTATGGCCTACAGCGGTTTAAGGTTATGGCCTACAGCGGTTTAAGGTTATGGCCTACAGCGGTTTAAGGTTATGGCCTACGGCGGTTTAAGGTTATGGCCTACAGCGGTTTAAGGTTATGGCCTACAGCGGTTTAAGGTTATGGCCTACAGCGGTTTAAGGTTATGGCCTACAGCGGTTTAAGGTTATGGCCTACAGCGGTTTAAGGTTATGGCCTACGGCGGTTTAAGGTTATGGCCTACAGCGGTTTAAAGTTATGGCCTACAGCGGTTTAAGGTTATGGCCTACGGCGGTTTAAGGTTATGGCCTACGGCGGTTTAAGGTTATGGCCTACAGCGGTTTAAGGTTATGGCCTACGGCGGTTTAAGGTTATGGCCTACAGCGGTTTAAGGTTATGGCCTACAGCGGTTTAAGGTTATGGCCTACGGCGGTTTAAGGTTATGGCCTACGGCGGTTTAAGGTTATGGCCTACAGCGGTTTAAAGTTATGGCCTACAGCGGTTTAAGGTTATGGCCTATGGCGGTTTAAGGTTATGGCCTACAGCGGTTTAAAGTTATGGCCTACAGCGGTTTAAGGTTATGGCCTACGGCGGTTTAAGGTTATGGCCTACGGCGGTTTAAGGTTATGCTAGCATTTGAGGAGTGGGTTTCAAGGGCAGGTTAGGGTACACCTCGGGGTGAGGGGGTGGACACCGTGTGCTTATGGTAGCCCTCGTGGTAAAGGGTGAACACCGTGTGCTTATGGTAGCCCTCATGGTAAAGGGTGGACAACGTGTGCTTATGGTAGCCCTCGTGGTAAGGGGTGGACACCGTGTGCTTATGGTAGCCCTCGTGGTAAGGGGTGGACACAGTGTGCTTATGGTAGCCCTCGTGGTAAGGGGTTAGTACAGTCTGGTTGTTTTAGCAGTCAGGGTCAAGGGCGAACCACGACAATACTTAAAATAGCGACTCTTTCAACCTTGAGAAAAATATTTTTAAATATAATTAATAATTAAGATTCACGGCAATTTTAAAAAAAATAAATAAAGGAAGACAGAGATATTCTAAATATAGAAGTAGTCGAAGTCTGGCCCGCGGGTCAGATCTGGACATACAATAGTATTGTGTATGGGAGATTTGAGTTAAAGAAATAAGTGTATTGATCTCATCTCAAATTGTGCCAATTTTCATCTGTACATGAGCGCAAATCGCGCCTCGGAAATTTTTAATCACGAGAGTAAATTGCCTTTGACGGAATCCTCTACAACAGCGGTTCTCAACCTCTTTGGAGGTCGAACGACTGACGACTCTGACACAGGGGTCATCTAAAAGGAACTGTATAAAAGGGTCGCGGCATTAGGAATGTTTAGAACCACTGCTCTAACAGTGAATATATTGAGCAGGATTCGTTATAATATTTAACTTTAACTCCTCTAGTTGATCAATTTATCATTAACCGAAAATTGTATTCTTTTTTCTACGCGAATAAAACTCAGATGTTTTTGTTGCATACTCCATTTGTTACATAATCCATCCGTTTTATTAACATAATCCTCATCGACTGATACTTTCACTCTGTTAAATGATTTTTTTGTTTTTGTTGTTGTCTTTTTTTAAATAATTCAATAGAGATATTTGATGTGTGGATGTCAATAACACAGACAGATGTGAAGCTGCTGATTGGAAGAAACTCAAAGACGAAGTGCGGAATGGTGACTACACTGTGAACTATTTCTGGAGTATGTTATTAGACGACAGGCCTGTTCAAGGACACGGACAGGGTCACACGTGAAGCCACATTCTACTCTAAAACTTATTGGAATACTGAGAGCCCCCAACGTGAATGAGAGACGTGACGTCATACAATAATAACCCTCACAAACCAAGGAAATGATTAGTTTAAACGATATTGGCTTGGACATTGAGTTTGTTGTGTTGAATGTAAAAGGTGTGCGTCAACTCGCCACCAACGCTTCCATGTAGTCTCTGCCAGAAGTTTCAGTGGTATATCACAATCATATTTTATATTGATCGGCTTTCAAACACCCCCCCCCCCCCATATTCACCAGCTCCACAAAATCTATCTATCGGACAAGAAGAAGGCAGGAAGGGACACACCAACGCTTCCATGTAGTCTCTGCCAGAAGTTTCAGTGGTATATCACAATCATATTTTATATTGATCGGCTTTCAAACCCCCCCCCCCCCCCATATTCACCAGCTCCACAAAATCTATCTATCGGACAAGAAGAAGGCAGGAAGGGACAAGACTTTTTTCTGATGTTGAGCTGTGAACGGCTTAAATATTCTAATGTCGGAGTTGCCACGAGGAAATGCACAAATTTCTCTAATAGAAAAACCGACATCTCTAACGGTGTGGTGCTGCATTAATTAAAATCATTGATTATATGTGCGACTGTGTGGGCCATTTTGTGTGTGTGTTATTGTTGTGTTATTGTTGTGTTATTGTTTTTACCTAATTTTACGTGGATTTACAATTTATTTTGCGGAAAGGAGGGGTGGGGGTGTAAGAAGATAACTCTATGGCGTTTTAATCAAATCAGTTTTATAGCTTTCAGGAGTTAAGACGCAAACTAGTTACAAGCTTCAGAATGGCAGAAACTATGACTTTCTAAAATACGTTTTCGTAGACCAGCGGTTCTCAACCTGTGGGTCGAGACCCCCTTTAGGGGTTGCACGACCCTTTTCCAGGGGTCGCCTAAGACCATCTAAAACACATATCCTGACAGCTATGAAGTAGCAACGAAAATAATAGTGTGGCTGGGGGTCGCCACGACACGAGAAACTGTATTAAAGGGTCGTGGCACTAGCAAGTTTGAGAGCCACTGTCGTAGACTAAGTTGGTGCATGGAAAGTCATTTTTTGATTAGCCAGCCTTAGCTCCGATACTTTTCTATCCCATTATTTAAACTAAATATTTGGTGTACAGATATAAATGCTGCACCCCATTTTTAAACAAAGTACTTAATATACTGATGTAACAGATCACCAATTCCATTATTTAAACAAATTACTTAATATACTGATGTAACAGATCACCAATTCCATTATTTAAACAAATTACTTAATATACTGATGTAACAGATCACCAATTCCATTATTTAAACAAATTACTTAATATACTGATGTAACAGATCACCAATTCCATTATTTAAACAAAGTACTTAATATACTGATGTAACAGATCACCAATTCCATTATTTAAACAAATACTTAATATACTGATGTAACAGATCACCAATTCCATTATTTAAACAAAGTAGGCTACTTAATATACTGATGTAACAGATCACCAATTCCATTATTTAAACAAATTACTTAATATACTGATGTGACAGATCCTTTATCCCATTATGTAAACAAAGTACTCGGCGTACATATCAGGGGTCTCAAACTCACGGCCCGCAAGACGATATTTTGCGGCCCGCTACCTGCCATCAAAGTTTAGTATTAATGCGGTCCGCGAGTTGTCCACATTCTCATATATATAGTGTGACCCTCTGCGACGATTTCAATCGAATTTCACCGACTAGTCTAATTCTGATTTTTATTATGTTTATATAAAATCCTATAGGTTTTGACGTTGATTATAATGGTAAAAAAAACTTTTTAAAATTTTATTTGATAGCATTTTATGAACCAAACATGGCCAAAGTGAGGTTTTAAGAAAACACGCTTCGAACTGTGTAAATCGTAGCAATCTTACACAGTATCAAACAATCCTTATTAAAATTGCAGCTAGTGTGTACCATTGACGAGTGGCGGAAGTTCTGAGACTTTCAGCTTGGTCTCGTGTAACATAATTTGGGAGAGTTACCGAGTGGAGGGAAACTATATTATCAAACAGTGCAAACAAATATTTATGTCGCTCGACCCCAGTCATGTCTATCTCAAAACCTGCTGTGAAGAGAGAGGTTGGCGATGAGCGCAGACAATTTCAGGAGAAGTGGGAGACTGGACTGTTGCTTTGATGAGCACAGGGGCATTCCGACGTGCCTCATATGCACCGAGAAAACTGCGGTGCACAAGGAGTGCAACATCAGACGTCACTATCTAACCGGACATGCTGAGGAGTATGCAAAATATTAGGCAGATGAGAGAGAGGCCCAGGTTGAAAAACTTAAAACATCGACTAAGGCAGCATGATTTTTTTTTAAGAAAGCAAAGAAAGAAAGTGATTGAGCAGTTACGTGGTGAGTGAGATGATTGCTCAGGCAGGAAGATCATTCAAAGAAGGCGAGTTCATCAAAAATCGCACGTTACAAGCTGCAAGTTTAGTCTGTCCGGAAAATAAGGGTCGGTTTAGCAACATCAGCCTTTCAGCCAACACAGTGGCAGAGCGCATTTCTGAGCTGTCAGGTGACATTTATGATCAACTGTGCGAGAAAGGTAAAAATGTCCATGCTTACTCGTCACTCTTGATGAGAACTTAGATGTTGCTAACACTGCACAGCTCGCAATGGTGTTGATGCTAATTTTGAAGCGATAGAGGAGTTGCTCAAAGTGATTCCACTGTATGACCAGACCACTGCTCAGGAGATATTCCGCCAGCTGTGCGATGCCATTGTGAATGCCGGTTTACAGTGGACACATTTTGCAGAAAAACAATCGACGGAGCGCCATCAATGACATGGAAAAATAAATGGACTCGTGGCACGTGTTCAAAGAAAACTGAAAGAGGAGGGTGTGGAAGAGGCCATTGCACTGCACTGCATTATCCACCATCAGGCCCTTTGCAGCATATGCCTGAAGTTTGACAATGTGATGTCTGACCTTGTGAAATACATCAACCATATCAGATCCAGGTGCTTAAAGCACCGTCAGTTCCGTGCCTTTTTAGAGGAAATAGAGTCGCAGCATATGAGGGTGTTATCTACTTCACCGAGGTACGTTGGCTTAGTAGGGGAAGCGTCTTGAAAAGAATTTTTGAGTTGAGAGCAGAAATCAAAGCCTTCATTGAGAAGGATGGGGTGGTTTTTCCTGTACTAAATGATCCCAAATAGCTGATGGGCCTGGCATTACACAGGAGTTGAATGTACTCAACAAGAAGTTACAAGGCCAGGGGCAGTTTGTCAGTGTTGTCTATGACAATGTCAGTGCATTCTGCACAAAACGTGTGCTATGGAAAGCCCAGCTTTCTGAGAGAAACCTCCAACATGCCAAGTACTCATGGACTCGGGCACACCATTCAGTAGTAAAAATTTAGCAAATTTTTGCTGAACCCTTTTCCTTCAATAAGGAAAATCCCCCACTTTTTTTTTTTTTGCACTTCAAATGGAGGTAATTGAACTTCAGTGCAATTTATGTGAATAGAAAAACAGACAAGCTTGGACAATTTATGAGAGAATTGCCCTCCACCTTCCCAACAACATTCAGTAGTAAAAATTTAGCAAATTTTTGCTGAACCCTTTTCCTTCAATAAGGAAAATCCCCCACTTTTTTTTTTTTTGCACTTCAAATGGAGGTAATTGAACTTCAGTGCAATTCATGTGAATAGAAAAACAGACAAGCTTGGACAATTTATGAGAGAATTGCCCTCCACCTTCCCTGAGGTCTCCAGGTTGTTCCAGCGGATCATGTGCCTTTTTGGCAGTACCTATCTGTGTGAAAAGCTCTTTTTCCACTGTGAACTTTAGCAAGTCAAAGTTCAGGTCAAAACTTACTGATGAGCATCTTCAAGCTGCACGGAGGGTCTCAGTTGCTTCCTCTCTCCAGCCACATGTTGCTCAGCTGTGAAAGAAGAAGCGCTGCCAGGTCTCTGGCAACAAGTAGAAGAAGAAAGTAAGTGAAGCCTAGGTCTTAAGAACCCTTAATGTTTTATTTTTTATTAATAAAGTTTAAGAAGATTTTAACAGGTGTTCTTGGATTTGTAAGTACTTTTTGGTGTGGATTACTTAATGCGGGCCAGTTTCACTCAGACTCTACCTCCAGCGGCCCCCGGCTAATTTGAGTTTGAGACCCCTGTCTTAAACACTTAGCCTTAACCTAATAATATGCACATCACACACATTCATGTTATGGTACATGTAACAAACATCATGAACACAGCACAACACATTCAAGTTACATACATCATGAACACAGCACACATTTAGAGTTACCCGACTCATTTTAACAGCACAATTTATCTACCTCATAAAACCCATACAAACAAAATACACACACATGTATACCTTCAGTAAAAGGACATAACGGAATTATTCAATATTTTAATTTTAAACTTCATTTCATAAGAACAAACAAATATTTCTTCTTAGGATAAAACCAAAAAAGTAAATGAGCAAAGTTCTGCTTTAAAATTAAAAAATTCTTGGCCAAAAAAGAGAGTAATAATTGCAGTGGCTCATGCATTTTATATCAAATATGTTTGTCAAGAATGCAACAATTGAAAATTTTACTGTCACAATTGAACAATTTACTGTCACAATACCATTGAACAATTTACTGTCACAATACCATTGAACAATTTACTGTCACAATTGAAAAATTTACGGTCACAATTGAACAATTTACTGTCACAATACCATTGAACAATTTACTGTCACAATTGAACAATTTACTGTCACAATTGAACAATTTACTGTCACAATTGAACAATTTACTGTCACAATTGAACAATTTACTGTCACAAAGAGATTAAAATAAAAAAAAGCAGTCTTTATAAAATCTTTTTGGATGAAAGTACATAAAGTTATATTACAATTCAATAATAATTAAAAACCAAATGATGGTGAAAAATAGCTGAACTCTACAGGGCGTATGACATAAGTGACAAACACTTGTACATAATTAATCCTTTCTCTTCAACTTAAACACTTGAATTATGTAACCATGAAACATTTCAAAGCACTTCTATCAGCAAGTAGAAATAACAACTGGCAGAACAAAGTGTTCTTTACTTAACATGTACATTTAGATGCTAAACCAAAAACGAACTCTACATAAAATGCTTGTAAAATAGCGAGTTAAATGCATCAACAAAATAAAACTCTCAAGTTTTTTTAAAATCGAAGGCTGACACTTTTGATCAGATTTCCATCCTTTTCCACTTTTCCATCTTTATCATTGTCATTAACTGGAGAAATGTAGCTGTCACCTGTCCATCGATATTTAACATTTAAATTTACAATTTAAATTTGAAAGTCATCATCATGAAGATTTAAAATGTGTATGTAAAAAAAAAGGAACATGAGGTACATCATCATTGAAGTTCTTTTGAGATATTCACTATTTTAAAAAATTATATCTTCTCAATCGCCAAGCCATGGTTTTCTCAATCGCCAAGCCATGGTTTTGTCAATTGCTAAGCCATGGTTTTCTCAATCGCCAAGCAATGGTTTTCTCAATGGCCAAGCCATGGTTTTGTCAATTGCCAAGCCATGATTTTCTCAATCACCAAGCCATGGTTTTCTCAATCACCAAGCCATGGTTTTCTCTACCTAGATAACTTTTGCTCCCAACAACCCTTTAACCTTCTTGAGCTCTTGGTTTTTCTCCTCAGCGATTCTCCGAAATATATTGGATTCAACTACATATCTGATGTTACCAGTGGCCTCACAAAGCTCTGCCTTTTCTATGGCGCAATGTTGAAGAATTTCAATTTCTTGTGCCAAGCGTCTTATTGGTTTATCAATCTCACACCCGTAGCTGGATATTTCTTTTGTATCCGTTTCATTAAAACATTCCACAGACTCTGGCTCTTTTTTCAACAGCATAACTTCTTCATCTGTTTTTTGAACATTACTAAAATGAGCATTGTGCATTTCCTCAGAATCCATGTCTAGCGATGAGGCTGACCACGCCAACTCTACATTAGCATTATCAACAGGAGCCTGTATCTCATGAGCAGCTTCACATGAATCACTTCTTATGTCAGCTCGTTCAGAATTGGTTCTAAGAATATATGGACAGTAAAAGAAATTAAATATTACATGAAAATTGTATAAAGTGAAATGATTTTATTTTAAATAATTAATTATTACACATGATGTTTATACTTTTAATCTGTAACAGGGATCTCTCTCTTATGAACAAATTAGTACAAAATTAAGCATCAACAAGTTAATCAGAATACTGAAATGTTATGGAGAGATGGAATCCTACAAGAAAATACAATAAAATGCTGTAAAGATTTAAATAAAAGGGACAATATTAAACAAGTGAAATAGCCAAAGAAAACAAAATAAATATTTGACATGAACTTAACCTACATGTAGTCTTACCCAGGGGAGTGAATAATGTTATTTTTTGATACTAGTTTTTCAAAGGCCTTGTGTGTCATTCCCTTGGAATGTGAAATCAAGGCCCATTTTTCCCTTTTTTTAGTAAATAGCTGTTTATTACATAATATACATTGAACTTTTGATGAATCTGAACCTGGGCGTGCCCATGACCACTTGGGTTCCTCCAACCATTCACAGTTGTTTTTCTTATCTTTGGCCATTCTGTTGAAAAGTTAAAAAGAGGGGAAAAAAAAGAGAAAATTATCCTTAATAACAGTAACAGTTCATATTTACACAATATGCAAAAACAAAATCTTATTGGTTAAAATCTATAAATGGAAGTGAGATAGAAAAATATAGTTTATTTAATATGATCCCATTAAAAAATTACACTTAGAGAAAGAAACATTTCTGATCTTCTGTGCCCAACTTTTCCTTTAAATTATGAGAAGAAAGATTAGCTTGAGAATTAATTTCATTAGAACAGGTTCTAATAATCTAGTAAGAATAAGTTATTTGTAGGAAGTGAGTTGACATTTAAACAATCAAAACTTAGCCAAACCAAAACAATAAAATATAAAAGCAGGAAGTGAGTTTTAAAAAGATAAAATTATTTCATCACTCAATGAAGTTGTTACCTGCTAGGATTTTCAATATAAAAGGTGTGTTATGGTATTTTACCAACTATTCAGCAAAGGGACCATAGTGGAAAAGCCAGAGCATGGTATTGCAAAATGCAATAAATCTAATAAGTCTAATGGTGTCATGTGGGTTAGGCACAGTCCTGTCCATAGCATAATGAGCAACTCTTAGTTGAGTAGGCCTACAGTAAATCAGACCTGCTTAACCCCAAACTCTTAAAATCGTACAATATGATCACAAAATCGTTCAATACATTATCTTAATAGAAAAAATTAACATACAGTATATATAATGTATACACCTCAAAATCATATATTGTACGCCAAAAAGGTAAGATTAAACAGGTCTGGTAAATCATCCATCCATCCCTGTGGCGCTACAGCTCATATAGGGCTTTGGCCTGCCTCACTACTTCCTTCCACTCAGACCTAAATAATGCTTTTCTTTTCCATGCCTGGATTCCCAGCTGCTGTAGATCTTTTTCCACATCATCCATCCATCTAAGCCTAGGTCTGCCTTTGAGCCGTTTTCCTCTGGGGTTTTGGTCATGCACCCTCCTCACTCATCTGTCATTTCCTCTAAGTGCCCCCTTTTTTTTTTATTTCTGCTACTAGTACTAGTGTGCGATCCTGATATATACTGTACAATTCCTGGTTGGTTCACATTCTTCATCCATATTTATCCTTTGTTGGTCCATATATTTTCCGGAGAACTTTTCTCTCCCATGTGTTTAATAGGTTTTCTGAGAATTTTCTGACTACTGAAGAATGCCCAGTTTCCGGCTGATATTCTCTCTTTTAATTCTGTTAGTAATTAATTCTTTTCTTTCACTTAATAAAGATCCTTGGTATTTGAATTGATTTACTTTTTCAAAAGTCTGGTTAGTAATTTTAATGGTTTCATCCGTCTTATCTTATCAGAGTCATGCATTTTGTTTTTTGGTTGTTAGCTTCCACTTCCAGGCCTGCTTGTAGTGATGCATCTTCTAATTCAATAAAGGCTTTTGATATGTCTTTACTATGTTTCCCTAACTGTGCTAAGTCATGAGCATATGCAAGATACTGAAGTTGTTGAGTGTGCCCATTAATTGTGGGTCTTGGGTTTCTCTCAGAAAGTATCCTGTTATTGTTCCTTGGGTGCCAATATGTATGCTTCTTATAACACCCTCTAATGTTAGATAAAATAGTATACAAGACAGTGAGTCTCCTTGTCTTAGGCCTCGTCTAATGTAAAATTACTTTAAATATTTTCCCTGAAACTTTTGCTTTTTAAGTTATTTAATGTTATATGTATCAGTCTTGTCAGTTTGTTGGGTATTCCAAACTCCTGCAGTCCCATATAAATCTTTTCTTTTGATGCTATCATAGGCCATTTTATAGTGCACAAAGAGTTGATGCACTGGGATATTATATTTGTAACATTTCTCTAATAGACATCTGCTGATGATGAAAATCTGATCAGTCATTGATCTGTTTTGTCTGAATCCACATTGGTAGTCACCTAGTATTTCTTCAGAGTATGGTTGCAATCTTTTGGCAATTAGTTTTGTCAGTATTTTGAATGTAACATTTAATATGGAAATTCCTCTGTAGTTTGTACACTGAAGTTTGGAGCCTTTCTTGTGTATTGGGGCCATTAATGCTGTTTCCCATTCTGTTGGAATTTTCTCTACTAGCCAAATTTTAGTCAAAAGTTTATGTGTGTAGTTTTTTCCCTCCATATTTAATGAGTTCTGCTGTGATGAGGTCTTCTCCAGGGGCTTTGTGGTTTTTCATAGAATTGATTACTTCTGTAGTTTATTCTAGAAATTAGATTATTAAAGGGTCTGGTCCCCCAAGTGGGGGTTTATAATCTCCATCTTGTCTATTGTCTGCATTTAGTATGTTCTCAAAATATTCAGCCCCCTTCTCCAGTACTTTACTATTTTCCATAATTAATGCTCCGTTCTGGCTCTCACACATTTCCTGTATGGCTTGGTATCCATTCTTTTCATCTTTTATTTTCATGTACATTACTCTGTTTCCCTCTCTTGATAAGTCTTTTATTTCTTCTAGTTTAGCTTTTTTCCATTCCCTCCTTTTTTCCTATACAAATTTGTGTGGCTTTCCTTCTGGCTTCCTTGTATGTTTGTGTTGTCTTTCTGGTTTCCCTTTGTATCATGGTCATTCATGCTTTGTTCCTTTCTTTGACAGTCTCTCTGCATTCATTATCAAACCAGCCCACTCTATTGTGAGTTTGCTGGAATCCTACTACTTTTTCTGCTGATCTTTTGATAGCATTTTGTATCCTGTCCCATTGTTCATTTATCTTGTTTTCCCAGTCTATTTCCTCCTGTGATGCTTCTAGTTGTGCTTCTACTTCATTTTGGTAAGCTCTTGCAGTAAGTGAGTCTTTGGTAAGTTTTTTCTCTTTGATTTCGGCCATTGTGAATTATGGTTATTCTCTGCTTATATTTAACCCTTACAAGTAGATGGTCGGTGTCTGCATTTGCTCCTCTATAGCTTATTAAATCTAGTATATATGATCCATGCCTACAATCGATTAGAACATTTGGTTGTGGGTGTTTCCATCTGGTGAGTTCCAAATAACTTTAAGTATATTTTTGAGTGGAAACTTGGTGCTGCTAAATGACATCCATTTTCCTGAAGCAAAGCCTATGAGTCGGATCCCATTCTCATTGGATTCTTCATGCAGTCCTTGCCAATAGTTGGCATGAATAACTTTTCTTTTCCTATTTTAGCATTTAAGTCTCTGATCAGCATTTTAATATCATGTTGTGGTGCCTCTTTGTAGATCTTTTCCAGTGTCTAATAAAAGTTTTTTTTCTTCTGACCTTCCGTATCTTCGGTGGGAGCATGAGCATTTATAAATGTTATATCGAGCATTTTTACTTACACATGCAAAGAGCACAATCTTTCATTTTCTAGTTTGAAGCCTCTGACTGGATTGACTGCTTCTTTTTTCAAGACTATAAAATATGGTGTTGTCTTTTGTTTTGAGGATGTCTGAATTTCTCCATCGAATATTTTGCAATGCAGCAATATATATTTTATATTTAATCAGTTGATTTACAAGGTTGTCTAAGGCTCCTACTCTAAACAGGCTTAGTACATTCCAAGTTGCAATCCAAAAATTAAGTTCATATCCAGACATAGGTTGTTTTCCATTGGTATCAGTTCGGATTTTATTCTGTTGATTGGCTTTGGCAACGTTAATTTTCAACATGGCCGGGTTGTTAGCCCTGCATACAACTGTCTGGGGGGCAGCTCCTTATAGCGCTCTATGTAGCTGCCTTAATCTTTGGGTGAGGTTCTCTATCCTTTGTGGATCCCTCCACTTCCTGCAAGGCTGTAGCTTCCGATTTTGGTCCGTCCAGGTATCTTATTTTCCCGGCACCCTCCATATCTGGTGGGCTTTCCCCTATCCACCATCTGGGGGGGGGCCCTGGATGGAGGATCAGGGTCTCCTCATAAGTACTGTAAATCAAGTGAGTTAAATTATTTAGTGCTGCTGCTATTAACTTGAAACAAAAAGTAACTTTCGTGATTAATAATTTAATTATTTTGAGCTATTATAATCATGGTATAGATCAGTGGTTCTAGACCATCTTAATGCTGCGACCCTTAAATACAGTTCCTCATGTTGTGGTGACCCCCAAAAATCAAATCATTTTCGTTGTTACTTCATAACAATGTTTTTTCCAATTGTCTTAGGCGACCCCTGTGTAAGGGTCATTCGACCCCCACCCACAGGTTGATGAGAACTGCTGATATAGATAAACAGATGATGCCTGAAATATCTAACATCCCCACTAAATTGCTTAAGTCATTGGATTATTTTTACTATCCTTTATTGATGTTGCTAGATCACTGACAGAGTTATGAAGCTTAGTGATTAGTGTATTACAATTACAGCAAATTCCAGGCCAATAAAA